AATATAAGTTTTATATCATCTGTTCCTAAGTGGTGGACATTCATTTCGTTAGGAATACCCTGTAAAACAACCTGATACCTTCGCTTTCACACATTCTCCTTACAGTAAAAGCATATTTTTTTTTTTTGGTTTTTCCAAAAATGAAGTGGTCAGATGGCGTAGTGGTAATGTACTCGCATTTCCACCAAGACATTAGGGATTTGATTCCCTGAACCAGACGTGAATAGGTAAGGGGTCACCTGCCCGACCAAATTGGTTTTACTCTGGTTTACTCCTACAGTAAGACCCTGGCCCTTGTGTGCTTCAGTCCATGCTAGTATTAGTATATTTAGCTGTTTTGTTTTGCAGGTGTTGTAATATAGAAGTGAAGTAATTCGTGGACACTCGAGATTTCATGTGTTAATAAGTCTACCGGTACTTATATTAACAGTTTGTGGATAAAGAGTAACCACAAAATCCACAAAAATACCCCTCCCCCTCTCCATGAAAATAAATGTTTTACAATAATCAGAATACCTTATGCCTCCCAGGATTTGTCACACTAGAGAGATTCCCAGGATTTGTCACACTAGAGAGATTCCCAGGATTTGTCACACTAGAGAGATTCCCAGGATTTGTCACACTAGAGAGATTCCCAGGATTTGTCACACTAGAGAGATTCCCAGGATTTGTCACACAAGAGAGATTTTACTGTTGCATTTGAAAAGTACAATGTCATTCCTAAGTCTTCTTTTACCTTACGTTACCATTTATCAATACTTAGGAAATGTAAAATAAAAAATAAACTGTTCAACAGAAGCATTATGAATGACTTTTGAGATCTTTAAGACCCAACTGTGTAGAAGGATGGACTTTGGAGAGAGTCAGGAATGTTTCAGCCAAGCAGGAGGTTGGCTATCATTGGTGCTCCATCAGTTCAAGAATGAACATTTGATATGACAAGGAGTGCATCAGTTTTCACTCTTGTCAATATCCTACAATCAGCAGATTTTGAGGAGAAGATAAAAACATATCATGACAGCTTCTTTACTAAAGAGGAACTCTGATGGTCCATCCATGATAGTGTGCTGAAATAAACCAGATTTCAACAAAAGTTGAGAGTAACAATGTCAGTTTTAAACACAGGACTGAACAGATGCTGGTAGCTGTTGTGTTGCAACCATCACTTATCACAAAGTGAAACAATCCCCATCACAATATAACCAAAGGGCCAGCACTGGCTAGAGGCTGAGAAGGAAGATTCTGAAGAGCTGAATGGTGTAAAGGATAATGACAATGAAGATGCTATCAACAAAACAGTGACCCTCAAAAATAGAGTCAAGTACTAACATCATATCACAATTCAGGAAATGGTATCACAAATCACATAATGAATCTTGCCTCACAATGCCTGCATTCTGACCAACAGTGACCAGCAGTGACCTGCATTCTGACCAACAGTGACCTTCATTCTGACCAGCAGTGACCTGCATTCTGACCAGCAGCAGGGCTCTCGATCTGTCAGATTATCGAATATCAGCCCCATTCCCAATGCAAAATAGTATCTTTTTTTCCCAATTTAGTCCCGAAGTTTTCCCAATTCTAAGGAAAATACCATTATTTTTCCCAATTCTAAGGGCCCCAGGCCCCAGTCCCAAAATAGGTTGTGAGAACCCTAAGCAGTGACCTGTATTCTGACCAGCATTCTGACCAGCAGTAATTAGCATTCTGACCAACAGTGACCTGCATTCTGACCAGCAGCAGTGACCAGTTTTAGTTGTCAACTGATTGGCTGATGACCAATGTTGACAACAGTGTTAAAACACACACAGATAAATTAGGACAAAATTTTTTGTGATTTTACTTTAAAGGCAGTTTTCTTTCTTTTCTCTGTTTTTTACATCACAAATGGATGATGGTTTCTCTATCTACATAAACATTATTATCAAGGTATCTGATAATACTTTTTTCTCTCGATTCTATTACAACACATAGTCTACAAAAACCTGGAAACATTACATCCTGAATTTCTCTTACTGGGTGTAAATTTAACCATAAACTTTCTACTGCAATCACACCTTTTATAGGACTTAGTTATAGTGTGTAAGATATGGATGCCCAGCAGCAATATAGAATTTCCCTTTTTTTAATATCAACAGTGAGTTTGTGTGAGGTGTGGTCATCATGTTGAAATAACACTATTTCAGATAGAACAGGATCCTGAGTGAAAGGGGTGTTACAAGGCATATAGAAGGCCCCTACCCCCATTAAACAGTAGGTATTTCTTGATAATAGCTATTTTAGATCTTGTAAAAACAGTGCCAACTTTAGTAAAAAGCATTACGGTATGCATGCTTGCATACCAAACATTTTTGATCAGTTTACAGACCAAGGGAGACAACTGCTCAAATAAGAATACACATGAATAATATGAAATTAATAATATTTTCTGACATGTTCTATAAAATCTAGGGATCTTTACACTCCTAGTGACTATTGAGAGATAAGTATTAAAAAATTGAAGTCCCATTATATCTATCATTTGGCAAATTTCTGAAAGGTCCACTTGGATATTATGCAAAGACAACATTAACACATACATAAGCTGACTGATATCTACTGAGAAACACTTGGTGGGTATACAACATTAACACATACATAAGCTGACTGATATCTACTGAGAAACACTTGGTGGGTATACAACATTTAACACATACATAAGCTGACTGATATCTACTGAGAAACACTTGGTGGGTATACAACATTAACACATACATAAGCTGACTGATATCTACTGAGAAACACTTGGTGGGTATACAACATTTAACACATACATAAGCTGACTGATATCTACTGAGAAACACTTGGTGGGTATACAACATTAACACATACATAAGCTGACTGATATCTACTGAGAAACACTTGGTGGGTATACAACATTTAACACATACATAAGCTGACTGATATCTACTGAGAAACACTTGGTGGGTATACAACATTTAACACATACATAAGCTGACTGATATCTACTGAGAAACAATTGGTGGGTATACAACATTAACACATACATAAGCTGACTGATATCTACTGAGAAACACTTGGTGGGTATACAACATTTAACACATACATAAGCTGACTGATATCTACTGAGAAACACTTGGTGGGTATACAACATTAACACATACATAAGCTGACTGATATCTACTGAGAAACACTTGGTGGGTATACAACATTTAACACACACATAAGCTGACTGATATCTACTGAGAAACACTTGGTGGGTATACAACATTTAACACATACATAAGCTGACTGATATCTACTGAGAAACACTTGGTGGGTATACAACATTTACACATACATAAGCTGACTGATATCTACTGAGAAACACTTGGTGGGTATACAACATTAACACATACATAAGCTGACTGATATCTACTGAGAAACACTTGGTGGGTATACAACAATAACACATACATAAGCTGACTGATATCTACTGAGAAACACTTGGTGGGTATACAACAATAACACATACATAAGCTGACTGATATCTACTGAGAAACACTTGGTGGGTATACGACATTTAACACATACATAAGCTGACTGATATCTACTGAGAAACACTTGGTGGGTTTACAAATAGAAACGAATAAAATCAGGTCCAACTGAATATACCAATCAGTGTTATACAAAGTTCCGAAGGATGCCACAAAAAAAAACACATGACAAATCTGCGTACTTTGCACGGGAATGTTTACACAAAGTGTAATGATGCGTGTGTTGTGTTCTTGTGATTTCAGATGACCGGTAGAATGCTGGTGAATAGCCATTTGGCAAGAATCGTAAATACAAGCATGTTTACAAAGAATAGATTTCAGCTGCTTTTGTATCAAAACCCCCAACAATAATGTCTTGAGTATTTCTCAGTTAATTTTAATTATAACCATATGAATTTTTGTCTTTGGCTTTTCAGTGAGAGTTAATGGACAAAAACAATCATGGAAATCTGAAATAAATTTCTTCTGTCTTTCTGTCTATCTGATATAAATTTCTTCTCTCTTTCTACTGTCTATCTGATATAAATTTCTTCTCTCTCTCTACTGTCTATCTGATATAAAATTTCTTCTGTCTTTCTGTCTATCTAATATAAATTTTCTTCTGTCTTTCTGTCTATCTAATATAAATTTCTTCTGTCTTTCTGCTGTCTATCTAATATAAATTTCTTCTGTCTTTCTGTGTCTATCTAATATAAATTTCTTCTGTCTTTCTGTGTCTATCTGATATAAAATTTCTTCTGTCTTTCTGTCTATCTAATATAAATTTTCTTCTGTCTTTCTGTCTATCTAATATAAATTTCTTCTGTCTTTCTGCTGTCTATCTAATATAAATTTCTTCTGTCTTTCTGTGTCTATCTAATATAAATTTCTTCTGTCTTTCTGTGTCTATCTGATATAAAATTTCTTCTGTCTTTCTGTCTATCTGATATGAAATTTCTTCTGTCTTTCTGTCTTTCTGATAATTTCTTCTGTCTTTCTGCTGTCTACCCATTAATCATCACCTAGACTTAAAGCATTGGTTACCATTAAAATGATATAAAGAATATTCTGATCCCAAACTCATTATGGCTGTTTAAAAATTCTAGATGCATACATTTCATTACTTTTTTACTCCCTTTAGAAACCAACACATAATAACCAATCACAAGAAATGACCCATGTTTTGAAAAATTTACAAATGAGTGTTTAAGTTTAATATCCTAAAAAGCACAAGAATTATTTTCAAATGTTTGCATATTTCTTTATTTTACAAGGATGGAAATTTTAAAAAAGTAAAGATAATAATCCAAAATTACTTGATCCAGAATTTTTTCTTGAAGGAGAATATGTAGAAACTGTACCAATAGGGGTTCATAATTATCTTCCCTTTTTTGCACTACCCAGGGTTAGTGAAAAGGATGTATTTTTCTAAGGAAATTCTTAGTCTGATCTAATCTTCATGACATTTGTTCACAGTAACCTTACCTCGACCTCCTCGACCTCTCTGTGGGCCACCACGACCTCTCATCTCTCCACGACCTTTGGACTTCTGAATGACCTCTTCCTTCACCATATCGATGACTTCATCTGGGATACGTAAGTATTTGATAGTGCTGCCTCGGATGTAACATTCTGGCATCCTCCAGAAACGATCACCATCCTAATGAAATCAAGGAGGAAATTGAAGAAATATTGTAAAGGACATTTTTAATTTTCATCTGTGTTAATTGGTTTTACACAGGTAAGCTGATACGATTTGTGTTCGTGTTTTGTAATGTGGCATACGTCTCATTCCCCTAGATATTCACATGTAAATTCCTATAAAATAGAGTTCAATAATTACTTATAACTTTGACTTGATTCCAAGAGAGATTTTATTTGATGACTTCATTTCCAGTTTGTTCAAATTACAAAATCTGATTTCATGCTCCCATGTCCCAATAAAATACATTTATTGACTAAATAATGTCATTAGCAATAACAAAGAACTGGGCAGGTTTGATTGAACAGTTTGAGCACTTGGTCCACTACTGTTTGTCTATAAGGACAAAAATACTAAGTTTACTTAGTGTTTCTTATTGGCTTTGACTACACCGTTTGAGACCTGTATTTAACAGGGTGTATTCTCAAGTTCATTCCAATTTATGTCTGAAATGTTACATTTCAAGCCGACATACCAGTTTCAACACATAAATGGAAAAAACTGAAAACAAATCTTGAGAATAATTTTCAACGAACACTGTTTTCTTTAATATTTCACATATAAACCATGTTGTTTCTTGGAAAGAAAAAGAGAACAACATCATTAAAATCAATATAATGTAAGTGGAAGTGAAAAAATGAAATTACAATAATTTCCCAAGTCTTAGAGAGTTATGCCCCTTGATCAGAACATACAACATAACTTGCCCAAGTAATAATTACATTATGAATCCTTTGCTTTGAATGATATAACCCCATGTGTTTGTGTTACTGACACCAGTACAAGAGAATTTATATAAAGGCTCAACATCATCACTTTGCAGAAAGGACATCACATGAACATATTGTGTGATTTTTGAGAATATTTCCTATCGGTCATAAATTCTACAGGCGTAAAGATAAAAGTCTGTATTGTATTTCTGTAAAAACTTTATGTTAAAGTGATCATTTTCATTAAACTTGGTTGAACCATTCAAAAGTGCTATTGGTGTATCATCATCGAATTCAGGGATCACCCTGTACCTATTTTGACATTTGATGAAATGTGTGTTCACCTAAATGTAACCTGTGGATTGTAAGACCATATTAAGTTTTATTTATATCATTTCTCGACTTGAAAGACAAAATTCGCAGAATTAAGGGAATATCGGGAGACAAATTTGAAATTCTACTGGCAAAACAGAACTGCCAAAGACAGTTTACATAGTGTTAGTGAGATAACTTGGATAGGTCTGCAGTTGTATACTATGGTCAGTTGATATTGTGAGAAATTCTGAATGTGCTGTTCATCATCCAGTCCTGCAACACAGCACAGCACCTACAATCTGCATGCAGTAGGTTATAAAGTGACCTGAGAATTAGCTCCAGTGCAGGTAAATATAGATTCATCGTGATCTGTGTTGAATGTTATTATACATTTTTAGCATGAAATATTTAAAAATATTAATGTAAACCTTGAAAACCTGTAATAACTTCCTAAATATTCATCTAGAATTGAAATTATTTCTCAGGTCCCTGTACAGTATTTCTTCTGTTGGTTTCACTGCAGCCTGTGCCTGGATAGAATGGGAGATTACACAATATTTTTGAGAGAGAAAGAGAGAGAATTGGAAAGTTTTTTTCTAAAATTAAAACAATTTGGGGGTGAGGGGGTGAGGGGGAAACAGTTTAGTTTTTGACTAGAGGAAGCAGTCTGTTTTCAGCAGTGAAAAAAACAAATGAAATTGTTTTTTTGAAATTGTTATCTTACCCTTGATGTGCAGATGACCTCTCGAAGATTGATATTCATCCAGTTATCACAGCTAACCAAATGACCATTGTACGTCTCTCCATTTTTCAACTCCACCAGCTGTGTGGAAGATAAGATATCAATGAAATAAAATGAGCAAATCTCATCAAATTCTCGAATTTTTAGAAAGCTTCCACCTGGAACTGGGAAATATGGAAAATATATATATAATTCTGTGGGATAAACAATTGATTGTCTGATCATTTTTTTGTTAGAAATGGTAAAATCTCAGTCTGATTGATTCCTTTTTTTCAAATCAACGGATCTATGTGTTACAACTCCTACATACATTGTATACATAAAAGGTCTTAGTTAGACTGATTGGAGTCAAAAGTCACTAAACATCTAACAATGTTGGGGTAATGTTGTACGACTTACCATGGGGTGGTTCACAGCCGTCCTCAGAAGAGAAAGGGGTAACTACAAGATTAAAAAAGAATTAAAGTATGTTACAATTGTTTTCTTTAAAACTATTTGAAATTATCTTGTATTGGAGAAACACGCTGATACTCAGAGTAGGTACTGGAGCACAGGCAATTCTGACTACACTAGTAGATTTGGCTATATTGCCAAAATTGACTATACATATAGAGGGCAAATGTAAACAATTGAGTCATATCTGATTGCAATCATGGTGTGCACATAAAAAAATGGACAACAAATCAAAGCGGGTTGGAAAAAAGAATGGTTAGTGTCATAGGACACCATTTCTGCTGAGCCAGTTGAATTTCATCATTGCGATTTTTTGGTACTTTTCTCAACATGTTTGGATAGTGAAACATGAAATTTCCTTAATTCATTATCTTAAAAACTCATATCTCAGTTGCTTCAATTGCAAGCAGTGAATGACATCATATTAGATAGACTTGCTCTAGAGGTTATAACTGAAACTATGTAATTCCCAGAAATCACCTGAAATTGAGCATAGAAACAAAAAACATTCATTTCACTGACATACATGATTTGTCATCTATTTTTTTCAACCTGTATAGAAGAATTTTGTGGTACCTAATCTGTATGGTTACATTTGTCCTATATATGTATAGACAGATATGATTATATTGCCAAATCCGCCTTTTTAGCCAGATTTTCTGGTGCTCCAGTACCTAACTGTCACTCCATAGGACCATTACACATCATGGGAGTATGCTCAATCTGCATATTTGTCAAGATGAAGAAAAAGTAATCTTGTTCACCAAAATGCTTCATCATGTGTGCAGAGAACAAGAGTTTGGTTGAATAAGACTAAGCAATTAGTATCTTACCAGGCAAACCTACAGAGATTGTCTGAATGGATAAATTAGGAAAATAAAACATCATGAACTAGTTAGGAACACAGTAAATACAATATTTTCAATTAAATAAATAGGTCTGAGAAAACCATTGAGTTGTATATGATATGCAAACTGGCCAATTATATGCTAATATTGGTATAGATTTGTTACTAAAATAGCCAAAATCATTTAAACAGCAACTTTTGCAATATATCAGTAAAAGTCATATAAATTTATGACAAGTTTTTTTTTTTTTTACAAGAAGACGTTTACTGAAAGTGCTGGCTACTTAGAAACCTGATGCAACGGTGCTACCATAGTACCTGAACTTTCATAACAAAGACCATATTCACTGGAGTACAGCATCTATTTTAAGTATTTTCCCCACAGGCAAATAATTTTTCGCAGTTGTATGTCTCATGACTGAACTAATCTATCATGGGCTGAAAATGGGAAAAGCTAAGTTTAAAGTGATTCGGTTATTTTTGGTTATCCATACCCAAATTGGCGTATACAAATTGCCAGCTGGCGTATTACACGTTAATTGTGGTTTTCAACCCGACCTGATCAATGTTGTCGCCAAATATATTGTCCTGTCCGTATACCATAATGAACACAGCAGTGAAAATATTGCATTTATTACGCGTGGTGATATAACGGACTTAGATATAGATACATCTTAATCCGTGGTGTTACACACTAGGACCTCCGAGGAACTGAACAACAGAAAGCCGGCAATTTTTTTAACAATTAGCAGTGATTAGTTGTCTGTAATTTACGTACACTTCAATTCACTATAAGCGTTTAAAGGGTATAATTTACGTGTGATGACAGATTATCATATATGAGGGGGTTTACTAATTACTTACCATTATTGAATGTTCATGCAGATAATGTCGTGAGCTGTTTCTCGTCAAAACGAAATTGAAACGCGAGGTAACGCGAACCGGAAGTGCACATGCGTTTTGCCAAAAAGTAGAAAGGAGTCGTAATTTTTTGTTTTTGAAAGTATGAACAAATAGAAAATTTCGATCCGCCAATTGAAAGCTGAATATAAGCATTGTTGCTTGTTACCACAGTTTCTAAATGGAAAGTTGACAAAGTTAAGAAAAAAAATCTTTTTAAAAACGAAAGTACAAACATTTAAACCCAACTTCCGGTTCAAGTACACGTGTATTTTACTGTTCATGTAACCTACAGTTGCTAGTGATGATATTGCTATGGATCGGAAACGGACTGTGAATAACGATGTTAAGGAAGACGCCGTACCAAAATCGAAAAAAGGAAAACATAAGACGAAGTCTGTACATCCACAACAGGCCGTTTCAGTGTCGCTGAACGAATGTTACACTTGCGTATCAAACCTGAAGAAATTCGAGACGTCGTACCAAGCTGCAGAGACTTACGACGAAGGTAAACATCAGTGTTCATGTGGTTGCACTTGTTGACAGACGATGTCGGAATAGATACCGAGTTGAGTGAGGCATGCCAACAGCAGAGTCTTACACATTTATAGTAGGCCCTTATGTACTGTACTGCACTACAGTCGATTTTATAACTACAGCTTGTTATGTAGGTACTATTTCATTTCAAATGGAAAATTCAAATGACAAATTCCCTATCCCCAATCAGAACATCGCAATCAGCACTGTGCACCATCAGGATTTACTCAATGTACCAGTGTTGTAAACAAGTTCTTGTGAAAATCATCAGTCTCCAAACTGCAAAGAAAAAGTCTGTGAATAGAAGGTCTCAACATCAGACAGATTTAATTGATTAGTACCACTATGTTAATTTGAAATATTTCATATTCATCTTATATTTTTTATATTATATATATGTATTTCTCTCACCTCAATGGATCCCTGGAACCAAGTAATAACTGACAAATCTACTTTTAGAATTCTGCCAGTATAGTATGATCATTTCACCATTATCGATTCATTCATTTAAACACACAAATAACAAACAATATGTTTGGGATGTTTGAGTATATTTGTGGATACTATAGGCATGCAGTAATTAGAAACTTAGCTTGTATTAGTAAGCTGTAGGTTATTACATCTCCTATTTGGTGCAAAATGTAACGTTTTTATTAACCATAGATATGCTGGCAGAAACCAAATTCTACTTTTACATAGAAATAAAAACATATACTTCATTTGTACATGTAATGGTACATGCATGTAAATCATTTTTGTATAACAACTATATAGGTACAGTTGTGTGTATGTGTTTTCATTTTGTATGCAATTCACAAAATCATACAATATTGCAGTTTTGATTTTGGAAACATCTTTCAATATTAAATTTTGCATTAGATAAAGTACAGCCAGATAATGAATTAAACTGCATCATACAGCTATTCCGTCCTTCCAGGACCCGTCATTTATGCTAAAGGCCTAAATTTTGAAGCCCAAGTGATTGACTTGTGATAATCACGGATCAAAAGAAATGTTAAACTCCAGACAGGGAGGCATGTTAGCCCTATAATTCAATATAATCTATATTTGATATACATTTGTTTTGGGTAATTTTGGTAGAACAGTATCCTATGTTTTTTTCATTTCAGGTTCACTGCAGTTATACCATGAACCATTTACTCACTGTGTTCTACCGACATTTATTGACGATGAAAAATTCTTAAGCAGACTTCAAGAAGAGCTGCTTGATTTGACATTTGCAGAGAAAAATAATGACCTCTACAAATTTTGTCAGGTATTTCTAATGATTAGCTATAATAATAGTTTATTTTAGTTTAATTCAGTTAAAATATTTTCACAGAATTTAACTTATCAATTTTTTATTGTTACTTTATGTACTACACAAGAAATAGTGCCTTGTAAAATGGGTTCATTTGCTTGGGGTTTGTGTCCCTGTGAACAGCTAGGGTCATTTTGAGACAAGGTTTTCTCAAAGTAGCTGGTGCCTACCTCACTGAACAGTATACAGGTGACCAGTTGTACACATATACCATCCAGAGCAATAAGGGTAAATTGTCTGGACCATGGATTGTATGAAAGCTAATTATCTTATATCCCAGCTGTCTCAACTGTCCATAGACAACTGTTTTAAGGTGTTTTTTTAGTAGATTGGTACAGAACATGAACTGTTTAACATTCTAACTCAAATACAAATGAAATGGAAAGAGATTTGGCTAATGCAAATGTAGCGGGTGTATTTTGTATCATATAAGACAAAACCGCTGGGTTCTTTTCCAAAATTTAATCATTGATCGACGTAAAATAGACACTCTGAAATATACAATATAACGTAATCAAACACTCTCAAATTCACAAATCTCTCGTTACATACTCATTACTCAACAATTCATACTTCTTTCATAGACTTGTTACATTTCACATAGTCAAACTATGTCATTACTTTTACACTTGAATAAAATATAAGATTCAATAAGATACTTCTAATAATTAAAACATGACCATTCTAATTAGAGTAAAATAACACTTACAACACGTATAGTGCGCTAATGTACAATGTCACAGTCGCACCACTCCACAATATCACCACATCATCGTTACAAGTTACGGCGCAACTACAACCAATGAATAACCTGATATTACAATTTATGTAATATCTTAAGAAACACATAACGCATATAAATCCATCGATTACATGATTTATGGATAATACAATACATACGTGTTCACACCTAATACTATTCTGAACGTTCAGTTATATATAAAAATATTACTGCTGCAATTACATTCTTCATAAATACAAACACTCGACGGGAAGAATATAAAAGAAATACTAAAAAAAAACAACTAGCAAGAAATAAAGCTAGAGGAAACTTACCGGAAAGATGAAATCTGAAGACCCAAGACATTTGAACGACCGTCACAGAAGACAGCGGAGATTCAAATGTACCCGATAAAAGACAGAGACAAAAGACATATACCCAGGAGAAACTTTGGACCAATGAAACAACACCGTCCAAGTCCGTCACATGTCACGTGTCCCGTTGAACAGTGAACAGTACTCACGTACACAAGTACATACATACACACTACACAAAGAGACGCGCTCGCCAATACGTATAAACGCGCGAAGGTAAAACGTGACACTAACGATGTGACCGCGAAAACATAATAATACACATGTATATAACCAATACATTATATATATATATATATATACTACAATACAAAATATAGCTACTAACTACAGCAAACATTGCCAATATGAAATATCACATAAATATGACATAACATGAATGTTACATGAATCAGGACAAAGGTAATTATTATATTATTAAATATACATTTATAAACAGTAACTGCAATGTCATAGGATTTATTTCTGGTTTATTGTAGAGCAGAGAAGACCTTAAAGTTGTGTCATCCCCATATATTGGTGCTTTAAGGTAAAATACATTGTATAAATTTAACCTCTGTGAAATTGACTTGTTCGTGAAAGAAAATTACAAATGAATCAATGAACGTTATTGAGAAACAAAACAGTTCCGACTGTTTCTTACATCACATGAAGATGACATTTAAAGTAAAAAGTTCTTGGGTGGGTCTATAATTTGTGTGGACAACCTCATCAAATGGCGTTAGTTGTAATGATATAATACCTTTATAGGTTGTCTTTCAGATATTTGTTTTAACTTACAGAGATCTGATCTATGTTAAGTTTAAAGACTGGCTGGAGAAGGTGACTAACATACCCCTAAACGACACCGTCGACATGTCATGTGCCAAATATGAGTTTACAGGTATATCAAAGAGATATAGGTACATGTAATGCTAGTAATGTAGACTCAATTTGTCATGTTGCTTAACACCTACTTTTATCAAGTTAATTACCTGTTATTTAGAACTAGTATTGGTTAATGTGAGTTGTGAAGTCATTTTAAGAAAGGAAGATGAGAGAAAAAGGTAAAATGAAAAAAAAAAGATAAGAAAGAAGCTTTTGTTATGGCAATAGCAGAAAAAATGTGTTGGTACACCAGTATTTCTTAATATTTGTGACCTGTTTTCATGTACATGTCACATGACTGTCATGTGATTCTTGTAGATACTCTTCTCTGCCATGATGATGAACTAGAAGGGAGGCGGATAGCATTTATCTACTACCTTGTCCCATCCTCCTGGTCAGATGTGGATGGAGGGGCACTGGACCTGTTTGCTGTGAACGGTGAGTAGAATTTATGATTATTTTTCGACACTTATATCACCTTAGGTTGATAAAATCTTTTATCTCTGTGTAGTGTGGACAAATATGTATCTAAATGAGATTTTGCTTAACTTAAAAAATATTATCCTGACGTATCTTAGAATATTTTCGTTTGGTTGGTAATGTAAATAAATTAAAACAGAGTACACAGGTACTAAAGCTTGTATGAAGGATCACCTATTCAGACTGTTTTGACTATGATCTTTTTGCTGTCTTGTCAAACTACTTTCCACCTTAGTGGCCATAAAATTTAACTACTGTAATATGAAGGAGTAATGAAAAACACCCTGCCCCCATCAGGGTTCGACCTGGTGACCCTTCAGTCTCTATCCAGACATTCTATCTCTCAACAAAAGGGAAAATACCTGTACATGTAGCGGAGGTTAGTAAGGTGACCTGTACTCTCAACTTCTACGCTATATCTGAAATGTCTTGTGATTTCATGACCATTTTGTACACTGTTATTCATTGTAAGAAAAAAATATGCTTCGCAGTGGTCTTTTTTCCAATGCAAGTGATGGTGTGCATGTAGCTATCGAAACATCACACATAAGTTTCTGACTGGTTTTGATAAGAACTTCATTAGATACTATCTTGACAGTTGATATATCTCTGTTCACATCACGCAAATTCAGGTGATTGATTCTTTTTTAATTTCTCACACTTTTTCTTATAATAAAGTATTGGAAGTAGTTTCTCTACTCAGTATATGTCAAGCTTTATGAATGGCCAATGAAACGTGTTTTGAAGTTGACATTACCCAGTCATGACATGGTTTCACTACCGTATTTTCTGGGTTTTAAGCTGCGGTACATTAAGTGATGATGATTACTATGATTGGTAAAGTCATTGTGCAAGTAGGCAGTTTTTTCCTGAAGGATAAAAAAGATGTGCCTCCATGAAGTGTGGGAGAAACAGAGTTTCCAAACTAAGCACTTCTTCAATAAATGAAATATACATGGAAAATCATTTAAAAAACGATAAATTTTCAGATAGAATCATGTGGAAATATATATTGGTTACTATTATCCTGAAGGTTCTTAGCGAGTAGTATTTGTCTAGTTGTTATAACTTATATGTGATAATATAGCTGTTATCTATGATTGTATGAAAGCTAGTTATCTTAACCCCAGCTGTCTCAGCAGTCAACAGCTGTTTTAAGGGTTTTGTGTAGATGGGTACAGATCCTGAATGATTTAACTTTCCCACTCAAACACAAATAAAGCAGAAAGCAATTGGGCCAAGCAATCATAAATGTAAGCACGAAATGGTTAACAATGGAAGATGCAAATGCTTAACACAGAATGATCAACGATAAATGCAAACACAAAACGTAATGCAAAAAAAAATGCAAAATACAAAACAAAATACAATAGACTGAAAATAGGTCAACAGCTTATGACTAAATACTCATTATTACATAGATAGTTTTTTTGTTTGGTGGTGTTTTTTTTGTTTTTTGTTTTTGCCCATACTTTGTTATCAATGTTCAATTAGTGTTGTGTACCAAAATAAAACCTTGTTAGATCGGGACACAACATACATGTCTATCATGGGCCATGAAATACAGGTACAGCTGTGACTAGTGTTTAACACAAGGTGTTACAATTCATCAACAATTCCATACAGCAAAAAGTCCTGATATTCCGGATACAGTACACAAACGTTTACAGAGGCAGACACAAGCGGCAGCCAATCCTAAATGCAAATGGAAGAAAGATTCCAAACACTAATACAAATGTAAAACGATAGACGATTCAGAACCCATAGGCATGAAACGCAAACGAAACAATTTTTTGGGAATGTTAGACAGTTCATGATCTGAAAACTTCTGTGAAATAAACAGAAATCACAACCAATCTTTACAGTAATTAAGAATTGTACAAAGAATGATGATGTCAGTAACTATATCACACAGAAAATGGCCAGCCAGCTGATGTAGTCAAGTCTGTGGTACCAGCGAGAAACAGTTTTCTGTTCTTCGAAGTGACACCTGTGTCATTTCACCAGGTAGGTTCAATACCATAAAATCTGTTATTGTATTTGTTTGGCAAATAGCCGGCCCTTTTATACTATACAATTTGATAGATACAGTTTACTATGTATTAATGATCATAATAAATCCCACCACTTATAAATCTTATATTCAGTGATTGTCGTGCAGAGAAGTGCACAAAGATTTTCCTTTGTTATATCCTATTCAGGTACTCATTGTTAAGTCACTCTTACATACAGGTACTCATTGTTAAGTCACTCTTACATACAGGTACTCATTGTTAAGTCACTCTTACATACAGGTACTCATTGTTAAGTCACTCTTACATACAGGTACTCATTGTTAAGTCACTCTTACATACAGGTACTCATTGTTAAGTCACTCTTACATACAGGTACTCATTGTTAAGTCACTCTTACATACAGGTACTCATTGTTAAGTCACTCTTACATACAGGTACTCATTGTTAAGTCACTCTTACATACAGGTACTCATTGTTAAGTCACTCTTACATACAGGTACTCATTGTTAAGTCACTCTTACATACAGGTACTCATTGTTAAGTCACTCTTACATACAGGTACTCATTGTTAAGTCACTCTTACATACAGGTACTCATTGTTAAGTCACTCTTACATACAGGTACTCATTGTTAAGTCACTCTTACATACAGGTACTCAAAATCTGCAGACATGATGAGAAACTCTCTGATAAAATTGTCATCTGTTGAAATAATGTACATATTTTTGATGACCATAGCTGTTAATATGGTACCATGTGTGCTTCTTTATGATAATTTTAAATAGCAAGTGCTTGATTTAAAGAAACAAATCAAAGATAATAAATTCACTGTGTTAAAGGAAAAAAACAATTCAGGTAAGAAACAAGTCAGTTTGGCACACCAGAAAGTTCATTTCTGGGATTAGACATTAGAAGACTTTTAATGTCACATTCTGGTTATTATCACATTTTGTTCCGACAAATGACAAGAAATTAAATGATTCATGGTACTTTATTTATTCTGCTATAAAACATGTGGTGTCCAGCATTTCGTATTCAGAGTCAGGGGGTGGGGCTTTTTACAGGACAAAGAAATGATATTGGATCGTATTCAAAGTCAGGGGGTGGGGCTTTTTACAGGACAAAGAAATTATATTGGTTTGTATTCAAAGTCAGGGGGTGGGGCTTTTTACAGGACAAAGAAATGATATTTGTTTGTATACAAAGTCAGGGGGTGGGGCTTTTTACAGGACAAAGAAATGATATTGGTTCGTATTCAAAGTCAGGGGGTGGGGCTTTTTACAGGACAAAGAAATGATATTGGTTTGTATTCAGAGTCAGGGGGTGGGGCTTTTTACGGGACAAAGAAATGATATTGATTTATATTTTATTAAAACAAGATCTGTATCTGTAGACTTGTTATCAAGTCTGGGCTTATTGCTGAGTAAGTTTAGTATTGTTCTCATAGAAACACAGTTATAAAATGTAAACTTCATACTTATAGAGAGGCAATATCAAGTTCAAAATTCTTTTTTACTGAAACTAAAATTTTGCTGAAACTGTGTTTTTTCTTTTTAAATGGACTTTACAATGATTTATTATTTAAAGTGTGATAAATGGAATTGTTTCCCTTGACAGGTGGCTGAGGTGCTGTCTGAGGACAAGACACGTCTTTCTGTCAGTGGCTGGTTCCATGGCCCATCTATAAATAGACCTACCCCTTTTGAAGAGCCACACCCAACACTGGCCCATGCTATATCAATAGAGGTAAGTATTTACATGTACCACTTTCACACTTCCTAATTTTCATTGTCTTCGATTTTTCTAATAATATATATGTTCTTATTCATATTACATGTACTTATGTTTGTTCTGTCTAAACAGGCCTTGTTTGACAATGTTCACCATGGTAAAGCAAAGAACCACCCTCTTTATAGGTCGGGTGTAACAATGTCTCCCAGTAGGTATTGTAGTACCCCACTTAATGTTATATATCATGACTGTAAGGAAGGACATTGTCAGTGTAACAATCTCTCCCAGTAGGTATTGTAGTACCCTACTTAATGTTATATATTGTGACTGTAAGGAAGGACATTGTCAGTGTAATAATCTCTCCCAGTAGGTATTGTAGTACCCTACTTAATGTTACATATTGTGACTGTAAGGAAGGACAACACCAGTGTATCAATCTCTCCCAGTAGGTATTGTAGTACCCTACTTAATGTTATATATTGTGACTGTAAGGAAGGACATCATCAGTATATCAATCTCTCCCATGATCAAACACTCCTCCTGTGGAACTTTGCTTTAATCTAAGACAATAAGGACAGATGACTTTAGAATTCTCCTTGGATAAAAACTCTGTATTAATCTTTGATTGATCATTATCAATGTATCAGTAGGAAAAGTTATCTGTGATGGTTCTGTATATTGTTATGTTTCAGGAGGATATGTTTTTTGACTGGATAAACCCGACGTACCTGGACATGATATCACAGGCAGATATTCGGGAACGTTTTGAGGAGGAATCACAGATAGAACTCCAGAACTTCCTACAGGTAAAAAACTAAACAAGATAAACAAACAATATGTATTCTCACTAAGTACAAGTATACTTTATTTCAGAAATATTTCTTATCCCATCTAACATTTTCTCGTCGAATTTAAAAAAAGGACTATTAGGCCACTTTACCAGGTAACTGTTATATGTTAGACTTACACAATTTTGGTATACTAGAACTTGCAGCTAAATTTTTAGGTAATTTGTTTTACTTCAGGAAATTTGACAAATAAAATGATATCTATGTGAAGGATATACACACCTAAAATCAGATCCATAGTATTTCAAAATCATGGTCCACACAAAGTCAATGACGTCTTAGTAAAATTCTGAACATTCCCAAAAGTAAGATTTTTATCATATCCAGGGAGCCAATACAAAGTCTGGTCAGCTTTATAACAGTTAATATCATGTTGTTTCATTGAGCTGAGCAGGATCCAAACTGCCAGAGTTTCCTCCAGTTCCTACACCAGACATTTGACATTTTGATGGACAGATGTCTATATCAGACAATATTCTGTCATGTTGTTTCATAAAGCTGAGCAAACTCCAAACTGCCAGAGTTTCCTCTAGTTCCTACACCAGGCATTAGACATTTTGATGGACCGATGTCTATATCAGACAATATTCTGTCAAAATGTCCAACATAGGAAGGAGCCTGATACACTATATATATTTGAAAAATAAACAAAACCAAAGAGTTGTAATCAGTAGATTTTGTGGGTTAAATTCAAATTCATTCCAGAGGATCAGGAAACAGATTTATTGAAATTCTTTTTGTTAGATGGTACTGACTACATATGGAATCTTGACATGTTAAAATGAGATTACGATAACTCTGCCATCTCAGTGAAATTTTAAGAGAATATGATTCATTTAAGTGTGAATGATTAACCCCCTGGAGGGGTTTTGGATTCAAAAATCAGTACCTTTGTTATACAAATTTGTCCAATAGGAGCACATGTATCCGCCATTTTCTGTGGCAAAGAACTTAGTGATAATGTCACATGTTTTACGTCAGTGTTAGAGGTATTGTTTTTAAATTCTTTTGATTAAAATTATAACATATGTAATGCCAGTTCCAAACCTGTGTTAATGTCATATCTGATTTATAGAACAGCAAATATGAACAGTTAAAGAACGCACTACAGAAATGTGAATCGTGGACACAGAGGGGACCTGCTAATAAAAGGTATGATATATAAACAGTATTCATTTCTGGTAATAAACCCAGCTTAGTAATAGGTCCACACATTTTTATTTCTGTTGAATAGAATTTCAAATGTGTTTAATTGTCCTGTAATAAGCCCAACCCAAAATCTAATAAGACAGAATTTTTGAAAAGGTAGAATTTGTAAACTCTAGTAAAGTGGAGTTGATGGTATTCAGTGAGTGTTATAATACACTTACTACATTGTTGTCATTTAATTTCCTTTTGACAATATTACTGGAGAATAAAGTGAGGCAATACCAAAAATTTTCAGCATTTCATGACTTGATACCGTATAAAATGTCCAGGTGTGTTTAAATTTTACACATTGGCCGGAGGCAGCAGACAATGTTTTTTATTCCTTACAATTCTCTGTTTTAAACCCCTATCTAAGTTACTAGAAGATGTGCTGATATACGACATCATTATTCTAGCTTTTTTGCCTGTTTTACCTGTCACATTACTCGTTAATTCTAGGTGTTACTCCCTGATGGATACAGACAATCCCCCGGAGATTGTCCAGGAATGTATACAAGTGCTGAAGTCTGATGCCATGTTCCTTGTTTTGTCCAATCTTACTGGACTCAAACTTCACGAGCTGGCACCTGAATCTGATACCGACGACAGCGAAGAGGAAACCACAGCTAATGGTAGATGGGAGATAACTCTATCAATATCAAAAACATTTCTAACTATAATTGTGGTTACATACAAAAAACTATTGTTTTAATAATTCTGGAATTTTGATAACTAACTACTGATTCTGAAAGTAGCATTCACTCAGTTTACAATGGATCTTTTTAAAAAATTTGCTTTGCATTTTCCCAATTTCAGAGAGTTATCCCCCTTCTATATAAAAGATACACACAATTTTAACTGACTATGCATTTTGAGAAATGACTGTCTTTCAAGCATCCAATTGGATTAAAATTTGGTTCACATCTTTGTTGAACAGCACTGTTTAACATAAAAAAGTATTTTTTTCCTCTTTTTTTTCTATTTTTTTTTTTTTTTTTTTCGCTATGGTACATGTAAACAAGTTTTACTGTAAATGGTCGTTATTCCTAGATCATAAAACAGATTTGATTATTTGACTATTGACAAATGGTATAACTAATTAAACCTACATTAGGATACATTAGGTGTTTCAGGAACAATTACTGTATACTGTTATCATCAGGGTGACAGATCTAATTGTGATAAGAATTTGGACAAAATATGAATTTCACCATACTTAAGATATCTAAGTTAAAATTAACCTTCATATGTAGAACTTAACATGTTAAGAAAACTTATTGTCAGATTTTACAATACATGCTGATAGGGTCATAAACCATTGGACCTAAACTTGTAAGTAAATCTTGTTTATCAAAATGTTATCTTCTGCTAAACAATGAACAGTGTTGGCATGTTTTTAGCTCACCTGGCCCAAAGCATGGTATTCGGCTAAAGTCCGACAAAGTTTGTGAAAGGAAATGATCTAGACCTTTATTCAAGGTCACACAGATTAAATTTGTTTAAATATTTTAACAACTTACTCTGACTTCCAAAAGGCTTAAAATAATGATATTTTGCTGATTGGTCTCTGGAATGAAGCCTGACAAAGTAACAAAAAAGAAATAACCTTGAACCATATTCAAGGTCACAAAGGTCAAATTGTCAGTACTGTAAAAGACTTCTTTTGATAAACCAAAAGTTGGAGAAGCATGATATTTGGTGGAATGTTGTTTCTTGGTCATAGCCAAAAAAAATTTGGGAAAAGACATTTAATTATAATCAAGGTCATAAGTGTCAATGTTTTAGAGAGTTGAGTATAAGAAGCTGTTTGTTGTGGAAATTAGATAAAGTTGATTGGATGTTCCCTGTTTGAATGCTAATGGTTTATATGTTAATGTACTTTTGATAAACAATAACCCTATTTTTGATGAATATTTAATACCAGGTGAGTGATGCAGGCCTATTGGACCTCTTGTTTTATATATTTTGTTTTAGTTGTCATTCTTTTATCACAGGAACAAAAGGAGAACCATGCTATTGTAGCCAGGTACGGCGCTGGAGACATGGATCGTATACTTTGGTACACGACAACGACATCGAGGGTGACAGAGAGTTTGCACTGGATACTCTCTTATACATAGGCTGTGAAGGTAAGTAAAATTTGTACTACAGCACCATAGTACCTGTCAACAGAAAATCTTGTACATAGACTGTGAAGGTGTAACAATTGTACTACAACACCATAGTACCTGCCATTAGAAAATCTTATACATGGACTGTGAAGGTGTAAGAATTGTACTACAGCACCATAGTACCTGCCATGAGAAAATCTTATACATGGACTGTGAAGGTGTAAGAATTGTACTACAGCACCATAGTACCTGCCATTAGAAAATCTTATACATAGACTGGGAAGGTAAGTAACAATTGTACTACAGCACCATAGTCCCTGTCATTAGAAAATCTTATACATGGACTGTGAAGGTGTAAGAATTGTACTACAGCACCATAGTACCTGCCATTAGAAAATCGTATACATAGACTGTGAAGGTGTAAGAATTGTACTACAGCACCATAGTACCTGTCTATAGAAAATTGTATACATAGACTGTGAAGGTGTAAGAATTGTACTACAGCACCATAGTACCTGCCATTAGATAATCTCTGATATTTAATAGATAAATAATTGACATGGTGCAAGATACCACAACAATCTGAAGGGATGTTTGTCTTAACCTTTTGATGGCTAAAGGCGTGACTTTATCTCTCAAAAGATTTTTCTTATGTTCTTATGTCTAGCAGGCAGTCTTCACTAAGTTTATAATCACTTTAATCACTTTAGTGAATTTACTTTAGATATTATAAGATATCTACTTGCCATTAAAGTTTTACAATGGTCCAATAGTCATTACTACATGTACAAAATCTCTTCTGATAAGTTAAGCTGGTGATTATCATACACTTATTTTCAGCCTGTAGGTTATATACTATTAATATTATAGTACCCACCATATCATTCATTTTGCTCATAAAGCAAAGGCCCAGGGCATGGATATTAGTTCTGAAGCATGCTGAGATGAAGGGCTAGTAATTTTATTTAAATAAATGACCTGGACCCACTTTCAGGATGGCAAGGATCCAATGTGATAAAAATTTCCAAACAAGTCTTCCTCATTAACAAAAGGCCAAGGATATCGATAATGTGCATATAGCATGCTGGAATGAAGGACTACTATGTTTGTTCAAATAAATGACATTGACCCACTTTCAATGTCACATTTGGCAGTTGTGTAAAGAACTTCAAGCTTCTTTTATATTAACCCATAAGCCCAGTATCATGGTGTTTGTGAAATAATAGTAGTAGTAGTAGTAGCTTTCATGTTTGCAAAAATTTAATGAAAAGACAAAGTCTTCTTTTTTTAATCTGCAAAAGGAGGTGAGCCATTGAGGCCTATTGGGCCTCTTGTTAATAATGCATGTCATTTTAGCATGGATGTGCATGTATTTCGTTTCTACCGAGTGTTAAATGGGAAGTTTTTTGTACATGCTTACAGAAGTAAACCATTGTAACCCAACGGGTCAAGATGACCTATTACTATTGTGCATTGTCCGTCATCATGTGCAGTGCACTGTCCATTGTTCACTGTCCGTAATTTTTTTCTTTAAAACATTACTCCTGCTTTATGCCTTGGCGGATTTCAACCAAATTTTGTCTGAAACATAATTATTTCTGAAACTCATGAAGTTGATTCACCCCCTTGGGACCAGGGGATGGGCCTAAAAATATTTTGTTTCAAAATGCTACTCCTCCTTAATGCTTTGGTAGATTTCAATCAAACATTATCAGAGACTAGCAATGATATTAAACATGCATGAAGTGATCCCGAGATTGTACTTACCAAATCTTATTTCTTTCACTTTGGTCCAAAATCCGACTTGACTCATTTTGAACAACTAGTCAGAACTACTTCTCAAGTTTCAGTCACACCGATGAGAAAAATATTTGGAGTTTGATTTGTTAAGGAAAAGAAAAGAGATCATTTGTTTTTATTTTTCAGCCTGATCAAAACTCCAACATGGTGACCACATTACCTATTTTGTAACATGATTGTACAACTGTTTTTCATGAACAGCACTTACCATTTATGAATGTCTGGTACTTTCAAGGAATGTTGAAAATTTGAATTCATCAGACATGTCTGACTATTGTCAGTGAATTCTGTAGTTTGTCCATCCATTCGTCAACTGTCAGATGATCAAGGGCCTCTTGTCACATATTCATTTTACTATTGTGAAATCATTAATTTTCAGGAGGTTTCAAACCCATAGTTACTGTTATTTTGCGAATTGATATGTCCACAAAAAGATAACCCGATAACCTTGACATCAAGATTATTACATGTGGATTAAGGCAGTCAGATCTATCCACCAAATCAAGTGCTATGAAAAAAACATTATTCTGTAAGACCATGAAATCAGAACCCTATGATATATTTATGATTTCGCAGTATTGAATGACCATCCTTTTTTGTCCAGGTTGGGAGCCTGACCAAGGCGGGATTACATCCTACATTGCACGAGGAGAGGATGAGGAGGTGAGAAACCAAAAAAATTTTACCAACTGTTTTGAAAATCTGACTCTAAGCTCTGTTGTTCAGCCATAGTTTGAAAATAGCGTAGTCCGTCCTGTCTGATGGTATGGAACCATATCAGTGAGATTAGAAAATAAACATTATCATTAAACATGAATCTGTGATGTCTGGACATCAAACATGAATCTGTGATGTCTGGACATCAGACATGAATCTGTGATGTCTGGACATCAGACATGAATCTGTGATGTCTGGACATCAGACATGAATCTGTGATGTCTGGACATCAGACATGAATCTGTGATGTCTGGACATCAGACATGAATCTGTGATGTCTGGACATCAGACATGAATCTGTGATGTCTGGACATCAGACATGAATCTGTGATGTCTGGACATCAGACATGAATCTGTGATGTCTTGACATTAGACATGACAGGTCATTAAGTATATTTAGTTTCATCTGTTTGATTTATTTTATAATGTGTTATATACAAGATAAAACAAGGAGAGGTGAAAAAACATCTGAACAATTTGGTGTAGTTAAGATTGTGTTGAAATTGTTGATGTTGTTCTGAAGTTCATGTATATTTCCATCTGTGATGAAGAGTTTTACTGATTTTGTTGAGATAAATAAGATGTTTATACAGACCTAACAGATAAGCTTAAATCAGTATAATTTTCCTGGTCCGTTAAGCAACATATTCACAGAACACAAGTCCTTTGTTCTTCTTTTCCCCCATTCCTTGTCAGCACTCTTGCAGTTTCATTCCTTTAGGGATTTTGATCCAACTTTAAACAAGTTCGAATTTCAAGGTGAAAGTCAAGGTTAATAGTTTAAGTAAATCATTGTCAGCTCTCAAGCAGCATCGTTCCTAGAGGGATTTTGATCAAACTCGACTTGAACTTCCAATTTTCTGTCCTCTTTATTGGACATCACTTCTTGTCAAATCACAAAGGTATTTGATCAAACTTGACTTATTTCTGAATAAATATGACAGTGATTTGGAGTATCACCAACCTCTGTCATAATTCAGTGTGATCTAACCAATAAGGATTTGTTTCTATCCCTCAGAGATTTACGGGAAAGCCTGTAGTTGTAATCATGTGTCATATTTTCCAGTTGCTGTCCGTGAGTCCATCTGAGAACAGTCTGGCGCTGGTCTACCGTGGCCAAGACACACTACACTTTGTTAAACATCTCAACGCCAGATCTAGAAACTTACCAAATAAGGAATTTTATGACATATGCTGTACATATTATGAATAAATGTATAAAATTTGAGGGCAGTGATTTATATTTACAAGGTGTGTACGACCCAGACATTCTGTTGACATTTCATGTCAAGTTCATAGCATATGATCAGTATCGATGGTAACTGACATTTCATATTTTCATGGAAAAGGAATGAATCATATTTCCACTTACTGGTCTTGGGAGATGAGTGGTCGATTCTATACCATCTCATACATTAAGTATACCAGTGCTAGTACGCTCCATACTGGTCATTTGTCTGAAAAGGTGGCTGTGTATTCATCAAAATGTCACACACAAATCTTCTACTGGTTCTGTTATAAGAACTTCTATTCTATTTACTTCAATACCAGTCTGAAAAAATGTTCCAAAATAAGAGGTGAATGAGTCATTCTCTCAACAGAATCAGGAGTTTTCTTCTGTTTTCTATTTAAAGGTTTTTTTTGGTACAATCCTATTTGATTCAAAACTCCATTACACTCATGTGGAAGACTTTCCAGAAATGAAAATCTTTCGGTAACTGGCTCATTTGAGTCATTGTATCTCTCAGTAAATAGATACGGTAATTCCTTAACGTTTCCCTTAAAAACAATCATTGTAAGACAATTAAGCCTTTATTGAGACCATGTTTATCGCTACTTTTTGATCTCGCCCTCAATTTTTGTGTTTTTTTCATGAAACTGTTATTGGTGTTTTGGTATAGTGCATGTATCTGGGAGTTATTTAACTCTCAACATTCTTTAATCTATACTTGAGATTAGAGATAAAGATGGGAGATACTGAGTACATGGGGACCATCTTGGCATTATTCAGAGATCCTAAAGGGATTTCATTGTCAAGAATTGTACAATCCTAGTGGTATAAGACTGCAGATCTTTCTATTCTTTTCTTTCAAAATTCTTCCATTCTAACATTAAATATGTCATAAATGTCATTTAAGAATTTTCTACAGAGGATAGAATTCAACAACGGTAAAAATATACACAATCATTCATTCTCAAATAAACTTTGTACAATGTATGGGATTGAAACTAAAATCTTTTATTTCACTTCAATGATGACACCAATCTGCCATAAGATGGTATATTTACCGAGAACGACTGATTTAGTGTGTACGTATTATAGAATTTGACCAGATGTTCTATAGAGTGTAAGATTGGGCAATTTACACTGGTATGGTCCAGGTATATTTAGATTCAGCCGTCGTACAGATAATGTTAGGAAGTCATTCCTGATTGAGTCAAAGAAACCTGTATATCCATGGCACAGTAGATTCTAAGTATTCTAAAGCTTACCATTGTGTAAGAAGGTCAGTTTGAACCGGAAATTTATAGTTTACTCAGAAAATAGTCAAATCTTAATTAATCAAAAATAAGATACAAATACACAACACATGGTAACAAAGATATATTCTTAATAATAGACATAATATTTCAAATCACATTAATTTAGGGACGAGAAGTTTAATACATATATATATATTAATATATATTGTAAAAAACTAAGATTTGAGTCACATGTAATTTCCAATTGGGCTAACAATTATGACACTTTAAAATACATTTGAGTTAATTTCAGTGTTTTTTAAACTATTCTCAATATTTCATGAATATCAAATTTATAAATCAAATTTATGATACAATGATTGTAAAATCATATCTTTTGTGGAGCTAAATTCTTCAAAAAAATTGAAAGAAAAGGATACTGTGGAAACTTGATTTCGTTTATCAATATAGCACAATCCATCAATTTATACTAATTCTAACAATTAATTGACATAAAACAGCTCTCACCAAATTGATAAAAATAAATCCCATGAAAATTAATGATTGTAAGAGTAAGTACTAAAACAAATCACTTCTCAAAGGCTGTCACTTATTTATAAGTTAATCCTTAACTGTGATACATGGCCTTATAAGAAATATCACAATCTAACACCAGGAACTGACACCAACACTGTCTAACATCAGGAACTGACACCAACACAGTCTAACATCAGGAACTGACACCAACCAAGTCTAACATCAGGAACTGACACCAACACAGTCTAACACCAGGAACTGACACCAACACAGTCTAACATCAGGAACTGACACCAACACAGTCTAACATCAGGAACTGACACCAACATAGTCTAACACCAGGAACTGACACCAACACAGTCTAACATCAGGAACTGACACCAACACAGTCTAACATCAGGAACTGACACCAACACAGTCTAACATCAGGAACTGACACCAACACAGTCTAACATCAGGAACTGACACCAACACAGTCTAACACCAGGAACTGACACCAACACAGTCTAACACCAGGAACTGACACCAACACAGTCTAACACCAGGAACTGACACCAACACAGTCTAACACCAGGAACTGACACCAGCACAGTCTAACACCAGGAACTGACACCAACACAGTCTAACACCAGGAACTGACACCAACACAGTCTAACACCAGGAACTGACACCAACACAGTCTAACACCAGGAACTGACACCAACACAGTCTAACACCAGGAACTGACACCAACACAGTCTAACATCAGGAACTGACACCAACACAGTCTAACATCAAGAACTGACACCAACACAGTCTAACACCAGGAACTGACACCAACACAGTCTAACATCAGGAACTGACACCAACAAAGTCTAACACCAGGAACTGACACCAACACAGTCTAACACCAGGAACTGACACCAACACAGTCTAACACCAGGAACTGACACCAACACAGTCTAACACCAGGAACTGACACCAACACAGTCTAACACCAGGAACTGACACCAACACAGTCTAACACCAGGAACTGACACCAACACAGTCTAACACCAGGAACTGACACCAACACAGTCTAACACCAGGAACTGACACCAACAAAGTCTAACACCAGGAACTGACACCAACACAGTCTAACACCAGGAACTGACACCAACACAGTCTAACACCAGGAACTGACACCAACACAGTCTAACACCAGGAACTGACACCAACAAAGTCTAACATCAGGAACTGACACCAACACAGTCTAACATCAGGAACTGACACCAACACAGTCTAACATCAGGAACTGACACCAACACAGGAACTGACACCAACACAGTCTAACATCAGGAACTGACACCAACACAGTCTAACATCAGGAACTGACACCAACACAGTCTAACACCAGGAACTGACACCAACACAGTCTAACATCAGGAACTGACACCAACACAGTCTAACATCAGGAACTGACACCAACACAGTCTAACATCAGGAACTGACACCAACACAGTCTAACACCAGGAACTGACACCAACACAGTCTAACACCAGGAACTGACACCAACAAAGTCTAACACCAGGAACTGACACCAACACAGTCTAACACCAGGAACTGACACCAACACAGTCTAACATCAGGAACTGACACCAACAGTCTAACACCAGGAACTGACACCAACACAGTCTAACATCAGGAACTGACACCAACAAAGTCTAACATCAGGAACTGACACCAACACAGTCTAACATCAGGAACTGACACCAACAGTCTAACATCAGGAACTGACACCAACTCAACCTAACATCATTGATATAAAAATTCTGAATGACAAAAGAAAAAAATCACATCCAGGCAGTTATTTCATCATTGATATATATATTTGCTTGCTAGGTTTTTGTTATTGCCCTATTAACAACAATGGTCATGTTGACTGATGACAACCTCACTGAACAACATACTGGAGGCCCATTACATTCCAACAAAAACATGAGGAAAGTGTCTTTCCCAAGGATGGACAACTAAAACAGATGATTATCTCAACTTCCTGAGAACTGCAACCTTCACCAGGTAAGGAATATGAAACTACACACCTCAGATCCTCACCGGAGTTGGCACAGTCCAATACATTGCAGACTGTGCTATTGCCAGCCTTCATATACAACCACAAATTATGGTAAGTGTACACATGTACCTCATGTTATATCATACTAATTTATACAACAGTTAGCCCTGGGGTTCAATATCACATCACATGACTCGAAGTAGAAAGGTAGGGGTATAACAGGTCACTGATAAAGCATTTCTTGACACTACAACTGAAACTATTGAGTAGGGGTGGGCTTATTACAGGTCACTGATAAAGCATTTCTTGACACTACAACTGAAACTATTGAGTAGGGGTGGGCTTATTACAGGTCACTGATAAAGCACTTCCTGACACTACCAATGAAACTGCAATAAGTAGGGGTGGGCTTATAACAGGTCACTGATAAAGCATTTCCTGACACTACCACTTAAACTGCAATAAGTAGGAGAGGGCTTATTACAGGTCACTGATAAAGCATTTCCTGACACTACCACTGAAACTGCAATAAGTAGGAGAGGGCTTATTACCAGGAACAGGCTTATTGATACATTAAAATACAATATTGTGTACAGTTCAACGTTCAACAATTAAAACAAAGTCCATCAGCCATAACAATATGCACATAATAAAACTTTAACAAAAACAATGTGTACTGCCATCTCATTTTAACAGGGGAAGGGACTACACAATATTACAAATAGGACCTTTTAAATGACCGGAGAACTCAAATCAAAGTGATAAAACTGATTTAGAAATAATTTCATCAAGTAAAACAGTAACAATTTGACTAGTAAATATAAGCATGTATGTATAAGGCTACCCTGTATTTACCTTCACATAAAAATGTTAAAAAATGACATGAATTAATTCATAGAGATATTAGTCTCTAAGGATCAACAAGATTGATGTATACACATAATAGGTAAATACTTCAGAAACAAGATACATGTACAAATACATAAAAATACAGTGTCATGTCTAACAGGTGGAATGTTTGTCCCACAAAAGTAGAAGAAGTCATTTTTCAACATCTGATTAAAGAAAAAATATTAGAAAATTATTTTAAAGCCAATAAAAACTGCGTATCTTTTTCTAAGTTTTACTACAGTTCATCTCTGTGGTTCATACTGTTGTTTGGTTTGGAAAATTTAATCATCCGATGTAAATCTTCAAGTTTATCGTCGGTTGTCTTGATCCAAAAGTTAGCGATCCATTTCGTTCCCACAGTGACGGGACACCCCCCATGGAATGTATGTCTGTCCATGGCCCCAAGCCAGCCTGAGTCTGGGTCAACCTTGTGATTGTACCATATGATGGCCTTGCCCTTTGCTGGGGTCACACGGAGGTAGGAGTCGCACTTTCTGTACAGATTCATCAGCTGTTCTTCTTGTACCCGCTGATGAGAAATCAAAAAATATATTTACCAGTGCATCATGTATATATCAACATGTCCCGAGTAGTCACAAGGAAATTGTATATAAAGTATAGGGCTACATAGAAATTTGCTGAAGTAAAGGTAGGTTTGTCTTCTCAATTTTCTGTTTTGTGACGAGGACAGGCGACAAGAAAAGGGGACTGGGCAGAGTCCGTACTTACAACAATAGGGCTTAAAGAACACACATTATAAGTATGTGTAATGATCCAGATGAAATTCCACTTAAATAATTATATAAATTCATATATAATTTGTTACAGACCCATTGGAGCAAATTGTTGGATACCTCCTTTTTTTTAATGTATTACTTTTTTCAGTATTGTATCATTGCGGACAGAACAGTTTCAAAAGGTTGATCTGAAGAAAGCTGTGTTGCCTTTTGTTATGATTATGAATATGACACAGACTCATTATCACCAATTTCCTATTACAAAAACTGTTTTTCAAAACTGTAATTCACTAAACCATGGAGAAAGGAGATAAACAAATCATTATCGTCACGTCCACTATTTCATTGTAAGTGAAGGGGGTGTGGAGGAACAGTTAGCTGCAGTTCCTTGACCAAGCTAACATTTCAATATCTGAGGATTTCATTCTAATGATACTAAATATGGTACTACGTTGTATTGTGAATTGACATGGCAGCCAACATCTATAAGCTCTCATGAATTTTTCAATCTCCAAAATTTAAGCATAATTATCAGATGTTATTTAATAGATAACAGACCCAAATGCTGTTGGGGAAAAAAACACATCTTTGATCTTCAAGGTGCGTGAAGATCAAGTTGATTTTGATAGCAAATAAGCTATAAATAGATTTTGGATTAAAGATTCAAACTTATTTCTGCACATGCAATTTTTGTTAATTGGGTTGATGTTTTTAGTTTTAGGTTTTTTTTTTGTTTGTTTGTTTGTTTTTGCAAAATTACCAAAAAGTTAGACAAAAAAAATATCTCTTGACTTCTTTTCTTCAGATGACGCCAGTGGAGCTTTAGAAATATCAAACCCCACAAATATACGTATGAATAGTACATAAACAAAATGTTTACATTCAATTAACAAACATTGTAGCACAGTAAATAACATACCATAAAGTTGTCACACAAGTGATGACTCTAATTTGACTGCTGTAAATTTTGTGTCCTTGAAGTAACTAGATTCCTGCAGTCTTTGTTTAATCCTTGTAACAATTAACTACAATTTTACTTATTATACTTACCAACATATCTATGCTGTCATTACCAGCCAAAGGGAACGCTGTCTCTCCTCCTCCCTCTACATCACTTAGGTAGAACAGTACTGTCATGTACCTGTAGGGAAACAAACACAGAGGAAGTGTGTGGCTCTGTACACATGTGTATGGACTGGGAAACAAAAATGATCACTCTTTGCCCATAATTATAACAATATCCCGTTAATGCCATATACACATTTTTGGATCATAATTATCATCTCCATTAAGTTTGATTCTTATGTCATATCAAATTCAAAAGTCCAAAAATGGAAACACCTCCAACCAAACTTCATCCAAAACATCCTAATTACAGCAGGCACATTTTCACTTCCTCATTGTTACCAAAGCATTTGGAGAATTTGTTCAGTAAGGAATACATACATCTGTATATGGTTATCAGAATTATGAATACAAAAAGAAGGAGCATAACACCCAGGAAACAAGAGGTCCAATGAGCTTGAATCACTCACCTGGTATTCAATGTTCATTGAATAAAGAATTGGTGTTTATCACAAATATATTAACACATATGCCATTGGCATTCAAAATGGGCACATCCTACCAATTCTAACAAATTTCCACAGCTTCTTACTCAACTCTTAACAGTGAGAGTTATGGCCTCATGTCATTTCTTTTTCTCTCAAAATTTCTCAGGCTTTGACCCAGAAACAGCCTTCCATCAAATGTCCTGCTTCTTGGACTTTTGGTTTACCAGGAGTTTCTTTTACAGGTTTCAATAAATTTGACCTTAGTGACCTTGAATGTGCATGAAGGTAATTTTTTTCACAAATTTTGTTGAGCTTCATCCTTGGAACCTATCAACCAAATACAATGCTTCTGTGCCTTTCGGTTAGACAGCAGTGGTTGTTTTCACAAATTCACTCCTGTGACCTAGAACAAGGGTCAAGGTAATTTCTTTTCACACATTTTCATGCTTCATCCATAGAATCTATATGCCAAGTACCATTGATTTAAAGTCAAGGTCAATTCTTTTGCAAACTTTGACCTGCATTGTCCTAAAAAACTGTCAGCAAAACACCATGCTTATGCACCTTTTTTTGGTTAATCAGAAGCTGTTTATAGGTTACAACAAATTTGACCCTTGTGACCTTGAATGAAATCAAAATGAAGTGATATCATGGGTTGAACACATGAAAATAAGTGTCATTATCAGATGTTGGATTACATAGAATATATTGGAAAACCAAAGATCCCAGAGGGATCTTGACGCCCACCATTATTTGATCTTTAAATGCTCTTTTAAGGTTGGATCTTTTCCCTTCTTTTGTCTTCTCAGTTTTTGCTCAGAACGATAAGACAATTGAACGTTCCTTTGCAGAAATAGCGATGATAATCTTTATCTGACAAATCCAAAATAGCTGCCTGGAAGCCATTTTGATTCTTCTGATCAGTCCCAAAATCAAACAAGCACAAGGAGAGACCAAAGGGAACATAGGTATGAAGTTTGAGAGATATCCATTCAGTAATTCTTTAGAAATAGCAATAACAATCTTTACTAAGCAAAATCAAAGATGGCTGCCTGTCCGACATTTTGTTGTTCTCATCAGTCCCAAACTCAAACAGGCACAACAAAAGACCTAAAGAAACCTATACATGAAATTTGAGAAAGATCTATAGAGTAGATCTCAAGAAATAATGATAACAAACCAATGAAGTCAAAAGCCAAGATCGCCACTTGTGGACAATTTTGTGTTTTTGATCAGACCAAAAATTAAATGTGCATGACTAGGGACATATGAAATTTTAGACAGATCCCTCCAGCACTTCTTTAAACATTTGTTACAATCAAGTTTCATAGGTTACATATCAAATGGAAATAAATTTAAAAACCCATTTTCCTCACATGATTGATAATTACATTATTACAGAAAAATGACATTTCCAAAACAAAAACGCAGTCAATTCAGCTCTATATCTGTAGTCTCCATTGTCACTTCACGGTCGGTGAGTGTGTGACATCATTTCATTATTTAAAACCTGATGCCACAGTCGGTTATATTACACATGTAGTATGCAAAATATGGGTATATTCACAGAATAACAAGAAAATCATGTGATGAATTAATTTAAGAAGCTATTAGACAAACTTACGTTAAGCCACAAATTTGCCTTCAGTCACAACATTGCATTTAGTCACAATATCAAAGTTAGTCACAACATTGCATTTAGCCACAATATCACAGTTAGGCACAATATTGCATTAAGCCACTTACTTGCCTCTAGTCACAGTCTTGCCTCTAAACACAAATTTGCATTTAGCCAATGTTTCTGGGTTTTTTTTTCTAACATAACCTTATAACCTCAAAATTTGGGTCTCACCTGCAGATTCTGCATTGTAGAGTTCTCTGACGTGTACAACAAGGGACTTTTTTATTCACCTCAGACGAGTCGTAGTGGGCGTTATAGTGACCTTTGACCCCATAGGTCACAACCTGTAAATGCAAAATGTTTGACAGCCAGATTGTAGATGCTTCAGATAAGAAACCTTAAACATAAGAACCATACCTTGTACAGGTACTTCACAGATGTGTAAGGAAAGCTGTAGAAAAATAATTTGTTTTTCAAAGTGAAAATGACACTGAAAAAGAACCAAAAAGCATAAACAATAAAACTGAATACTGAAGACTTTGAAGCCTAATCATCCATTTCTATGATGCTAAAATTCATAACTTACAATGGCCTTTCACTGATCCAATCTATAAACTAAATGAGGTCCAACAGCTTTGACAGTTACCTGGGTTACAATGCTGATCTTGTTCCTGTCATATAAATAATCTTGTAAACACTATATTGTGTACATAATGTAGACTGCCATCACAACCGCTAATGATTCTAACCATGACTGAATTAAAAGAAGTTCAAAACTGTATTTCCTATATAAACTATAACAAATCTACTCCTTTCCTAGGGGTAATTTGAGACCAATAGGAAATTTAAAAAGAGGCCCAGAAGGCCTGTATTGCTCATCTGGATATTTAAGTCAATAATGCAAAACTTTACATTTCTTTAGAAACCTATTGAGCCTCAGCCTAGAGATACAGCTTCAAATTACCTAGGGGTGGGGACAGAGAGCAGTTGGTAATCTCCTGATGTCCAGTAATGCTATTAAATTATGAGATGGTAATCTCAATGGCTTCAAAGATATAATCTGACCTAGGGTAATGATATGAAAATTAAAATCTACTTGCGGGTTAGATTTTCGCTGTTGAGCCCCACAGGACCAAAACCAACACTTTATACACAACCAATTTCCCTTCACCCACACATGCTCCACATCAAATTTGGACAAATCCTGAAGAACTAGATAGATTTTAAGGAAATTGGTGGATTTTCCCAATTGAGCCCCACCCCTGTGGCCCCAGGGGGAAGAGACCCACTGTTTATACAAAATTTTGGACAATATCCTGCTTTTCCCTTTGAACCATATGAGCTAATGAAGATTTTGATTAAGCACCTTATGACCCTTGTATTCATAGAATGCATTTAAATTCTTCTAATCTGAATGTTGAAAAGAAGATTTAGAAATTTCTGTTTATTTGACTCCTTTTTGTCCAGCCCATCAGCCCCTGAGGGTCAGCCAGGATCATTATGTGCAGATCATCAGACTGTCATCTTATACTAACAAGTCTAACCAAGTTTATAATAAGCACAAAAATGGGTCATTAAATCTAAAATCCTGGTAAAGCACTTTTAGATCCTTCCATCAATGATCAACATTCTTTTCTTCAATATCTAGGTGTTGAAAAGAAAGAGTTTTGAAATTTTAGTCTAAGTTACCACTTATAATTTAGGTTCACATTTGGTCATAAAAATTTAATTCAAACTGGTTCAGGTGTTTTCAAGAAGAAGTTAAAAAAAGATCAAAAGTGAATGTAGCATGATGCTGGATAAAAGGCATCCACACTAGGTCACCATGAGATTTTGTCTCAGGTAACCTAAAAAATGACAATGTCTGAACATTATATTGTCTCTTTTAGCCTTGTTAGCAGAAATGATGATTCATTCCCTCTTCAATATACATTCAATGTATTACTTAAGGCAAGTCATGATTGTTTGAATATGAAACAAAACAGAAAGCAACTGAAATACTGATCTATGTAAATTAAAAACATAATTTTCAGAAGTTTCACCCGACACCAACAAATACAAGTTATAAGTTTATCACTCAGATTCTGAAGACTGATCTCACAAGAAATATCAATGTATTTATACACCATGATACTACATGTAAAGATTTCCACCTGTCTTCATCACACAACAATAACCCTACCATATCAAAATCTACTATAATTTACCTGAAAGTCACTCATCTTGATCAGTTCGATGGGGAGGTCAACTGTTCTTGATACTCTGAAGACAAATGGAGAGACAAAAGGAGTAAAACAAAATACTTCAACTGTACAGGTTTTCTTACTTTTTCTTCTTTCTTTCTTTCTTTTTTCTTTCTTCCTTTCTTTCTTTTTCTTTCTTTTCTATTTTTTATATTTCTCTTTAGTATGCATGACTGAGTCCCTGTCCTTTCTGGAAACTGTCATTAAAGCTATCATATTTCTAACGGTTTCCATTGCCCCTTCATTAAACCTGGGAGTGGATTTATTAAATGACAATGAAATAGCTACATTAGCAATTTTTACTGAATTGTACTCAAGCAGACATGTAATCAGGCACAGGCTAATTGCTGGATACAGTTACATATGTTTATAAAACACAGGGAGCATCAAACCTTGTACCTCAGATCTATGATTATATAAGTACTGGGCTTGTCAAACAAGTCGACTTCTCTAAACAAGAGGCCCAGAGGGTCTATATTGCTCACCAGGATATCTAAGTCAATAATGTAAAACTTCACATTTGTTCAGAAGGAAAACCTTTCTCCTGATGAGCCTCGTCCCACAGATAAAGCTTTAAATTTTCCCTAGGGTCAGGGACAGAGATCAGTTGTTAATCCCTTGATGTCTAGCAATGCTTTTGAGTTATGGGATGGTAATCTCAATGGCTTCTGGAGAGACCAGACCCTACGACAAATTAGTAGTTATGATTGTATTTATCTCCTGATGCTCAGTAATGCTATAGTTATTCAGTGGGGATCAAACTGTTTCAAAGAACCAAAGATCCAAATGAATTGGTGATGGTGCAAAGCAATGATATGAAAATGAACAAAATCTACTTGTGACTTAGTTTTTCTGTGTTGGGCCCTGCCCATCTGGCCCCAGGGGGCCAAAAATTTATACCAACCTTCGGGCCAAAAACCAAAATTTTGTTTGAGTAAATACGGGAAAACATATTGATAAAATCTTTTATCTAAAGAATTCCCTAGTAAACATAATATTTACAGTAGAAATACATCAAATACATGATATTTCAATCTGTGTTTAAGTATAGCTTACAGTCAATATTCTTTCTTAATCAAAAGTAAAGGAACCAATTTCCAAGGATATTGTTTCCTTTATTTTTCTCTGCCACAATTTTGTGTGTGGTAGATTTACCTCCCTTTAGATGATTTTAGGGATACAAGTAAAAAGTACCATTTAAATTCTGTAATTTATTTGTCAATGACAAACAATGCACATTTATGTCACATTCAGTTTGTAAGGTCGGGCCAATTGGTTGCTTTTTCCAAAAAGGGAAATCTTCAAATAGCATGAGAAACTTGAAGCATGAAATCCAATAGACAAGAAATGAAATTGGCTGGGCCTAATATATTTTATCAGTATACACCCAAGGCTAAATCAAAACACCTCACCTGTCTTGAATTTTCTCAAACACTGTATCCTTGGAGTTATCTGGGAAAAGCCAAACTTGTTTGCTGAAGCGAGAATGTTTCTCTGGCTGTTCTTGCAGGAACTTGTAAAAGTATCGCTTCATGTCTCCAGGACTGAAATCCTTCAACTCTTCTGCTGATATTTTGTCTATGTGGGTTGGAAAGATCAAACTTTGAAATGAAACCGTAAAGGTTACCTTATAAGCAATGACTAGTGAGAACTTCCTTTAAGCAAAGTGGTAGAGTGTCTGGCTAGAGAACTAAAGGATGTGTTCCAGCCCCACCAGGGTAGGACATTTTTCATTACTCCTTGCTATTACAAATACAATATATTAAGACACAGATCTAAGTGGATTAAATGGCAGACTTAACACTCACACTCATGGTGCCATTTTTATCCTGAATATACACATGGATGTAAATCATTTATATTTAGCATGGTATTTATATTTGCATTAATTCATGAGGAAAGCCAAGCAAGTCTTGTCATCCTACCTTAAAAACAACTCACTTCACTCTTCAAACATAAAAGCATGTAGAGTGTTCACATCTATTTCTTTTGTCTACGTACTGGCCTGTATAATACTTTGGTAAATACAATTCAGTATCGACACAACATGTATCACATGACTAAATCACTTTTCAGGTGTAGTCACATGACTCTCAAGCTAAATGGCTGCCAATATGAAGTTATCAGCTGCTGATATGGGAGTTTTCCAATAGCTCATCATTCACTAATTCAACGTCATTTCTTGATAAGCATTTGCGAAATCACATGCTCTCAAAAATGTCTATAGAGGTAAGTTAGCAAAATAAAGCATTCAAGAAATCTAAGTGATTTACAGTGGAATCATGGAGGACAAATGAATCAAATACACTGCCAATTAATCTTACCACTTACATACAGACAATTAAACTATCACATATCTTATACCATTGTCAAGGTATATGGTATCAGTTTATCAATGTTTTATAGTACAGTAACAACTATTGTTCTGTACATGTATAACATTCTCAGCCCCAATGGCTTGTCAAGATTTTTGCTATACCGTCTGACAGAGTGAAACAAAGGGAAGGAACTCTAGGAGATAAGAATGATATTGAATTGTAGTGTTGGTACATCAACAGACTCACTCTGATCTAGTACCAGTACTTAGCTTCATTCTGAAAGTATTCTTCCATTATGAAAATCAGGATGATTTATTGCTATGAATCTGTAACAGTTCCTCTGTTTAAAACATTTGGAAACTTTATTCTCACAATGAGTATGCTAATAACGTTTAATTAGTTTCACTATGGTTTTACATCCTATTAATAGCCCAGTTTCGTTTTAGGATGTGCCAGGTTTGGATGGTGGAGGAAAACCTGAGTTCCCAAAGAAGAACTATCGACTTGCAGCCAGTACCTGGCGGCTGCCCCCTGTAGGCCTCAAAGTGCCAGGTTAGGGTGGTGGAGGAAAACCTGAGTTCCCAAAGAAGAACTATCGACTTGCAGCCAGTACCTGGCGGCTGCCCCCTGTAGGCCTCAAAGTGCCAGGTTAGGGTGGTGGAGGAAAACCTGAGTTCCCAAAGAAGAACTATCGACTTGCAGCCAGTACCTGGCGGCTGCCCCCTGTAGGCCTCAAAGTGCCAGGTTAGGGTGGTGGAGGAAAACCTGAGTTCCCGAAGAAGAACTATCGACTTGCAGCCAGTACCTGGCAGCTGCCCCCTGTAGGCCTCAAAGTGCCAGGTTAGGGTGGTGGAGGAAAACCTGAGTTCCCAAAGAAAAACTATCGACTTGCAGCCAGTACCTGGCAGCTGCCCCATGTAGGCCTCCAAACCCATGACACGGAGGTAGAAGGCAAGTGATAAAATGGTGAGACATCTTAGCCACCTCAGCCCCTCATGTTGAATAAAGAAATATCAATGATTAAAATACAGGGTACAGTTCTTACCATCACCATCTTTATCCAATCCTGTGTCAGCAAACCTAAAAATTAGAATAAGATAAATGTACCATTACATTTGAGGCTTGTTCTTGTAGTCATTTTCAGAACTGTTTATTTTATGGTACATGTATTTACGGTAATTAGTTTCATGTGTGCACACATTAAGGAGAAGAACAACCTATGAAATTAGAAACATATCAAAAATATTAAACACATTGTTTTTATGTTGAATTATGTTATATAACAATAACTTAAAAACATATTGCCGGTGTGTATCTTGTTCAACATTCAACTGCCATATATTTTATCATGAAAGCACCCCAGATCCCAATTTTTCTTTTATTTAAAATATATTTTTTTCTTTTTTTAAATTAAACTGAATTCATTGTCCATATCTTATGATAATTTTTCCATTTTAACAAAGTGAAGTTCAAATAAATGCATATTTTCCTGGTTTCATTTCAAATATTTTGATAAAGATTTTGAAGTTGGATTTTTTAGTTGTAGAGTAATTATCTCATAAAATTCATGTGAAACAAGTTTCCCCCCTTATATCAATCACTCTTTTTGGCCAGGATGGGAGAACACAAGTGGTCTTACTGTGGGAGGAAACCAGAGTACCTGGGGAAAACCCACGGGGTCGGGCAAGTGACCCCATACTTGTTTACATCTGCTCCGACAATCAAAACCCTGACGTCTTGGTGAATGGAGAAAGTATCACCACTGTGCCATCCAACCAATAAGTATGTTTACAGTATTTTGAAACAATTATCATAATACTTACATTTTCATGATATCCTCTTCATCAGGGTAAATGTCCATACCCGTTTCTATGGTTACCCTCATCTACAACAAATCAAGAAATGAAATGTGCTAATTATTATTATTATTATTACATTCTTAACGGCCCGTCCACATAAAAGGTCATTAGGGCCATCAAACGGTAAAACACACAGCGATCCAAAAATCTGCTAATTAATCTTGAAATGCAACAATAATATTTTTAAATGAGGCCTGTTGGTGACAATAGAACCTCATTTCTTAAAATACATTATGTATTATGTGCAGGAAGAAAGCTTTTTCATTACGCATAAACATTTTGTAGAACTGACAAGGATGAGAGTTATCTTATACACAAAGATCTGACTAGGGAGAGTAACCTCAATGACAAAGATCTGACTGGGGTAGAGTTACCCTGTTCACATTGATTTGATTGGGGGAGGATTACCTCAGTCACAATGACTTGACAAGGAGAGTTATCTTGTTTACATACATTTGACAGGTGAGAGTTCCCTCCCTTGTTCAAAAAGACTTGACAAGGAGAGTTACCTTGTTCATATAAACCTGACAGGGAAAAGTTATCTTGTTCACATAGATTTGACAGGTGACAGTTGACTTGTTCACATAGATTTGACAGGTGACAGTTAACTTGTTCACATAGATTTGACAGGTGACAGTTAACTTGTTCACATAGATTTGACAGGTGACAGTTAACTTGTTAATATAGTGTGGACAGGTTAGACAGAACTGATTTCAATCAGAAAGATGTTTGACAAGAGACATAATTACCTCGTCCACACTAAGTTTCCTGTCTTTATCCTTGTCCATCAGTGTAAAGCCATCATTTTGTTTCCCAGAGTTTTGTGTGGTCACACTGTCTTCAAGTCCTTCTCTCTGGGCTGTCTGGATGAAGTGGTCACATTCCTCTCCTGTCAAAAACTCTGGTATCTCTGTGACACAACAAATATCAAATCTCCATTAGGCTAAAAAATAAATTATATGTCTAAAACCCAGCATTGGTACTATTCTCATGAGTTTGGACAGTAGAGTACAAAATTAACACTTATCTTCTGTAAGTTAGAGGGCCCCAACACATTACTTTTGACTCACAAGACAATGAAATAGCATAAGTTCACATTATTATTGTAAAGCAGTTCATTCAAGTGGGCTTATTATCGAAAAGGGTTTGTTGTCTTATGAACAGTATGATATGATTACCATGGTACTGTAAAATTTTGTCCTACATGTTGTTGCCAATCATGCAAAACTTTTTTATCATTTGCTGAAACAGTAGATTACATACCTATGATAAGTGGCTTTTCACTGACAGTTTGTAGCTTCAGGACACGCCCCTCTTGTGTCACAACTTCTTGAGCCTTTCCATCCTGAATACAACAAAAAGAAAATCTTGCTTATAAATTCAAGAATTAAAAATCACCTTGATCCCCACATGTGGGAAACAGAATTTTCTATAAATGTATCTATTTATTGACAACTCTGTGTGGATCCACATCAAGAATCTCTTTTTTTACACTGAGCTGAGAAAAATTCTCTTAAAGTTCAAATTGAACAGAAACTTTATTCTTTTAAAACACTGTGAAACAAGCTACCGTCTTACATTAAACACTCATATTGACTGGGACGGAAGCATGCAAGGGATCTTACTGTAGGGGCAAACCAGATTACCCGGCCGTGGAAAACCCATGTGGTCGGGCAGGTGACCCCTTATCTTGTCATGTTCCCTCAGGGAATCAAGCCCAGGACATTAAGGTGACTATCCTAAATTAAGTGCCAAGTGTTATACCAGGGTGACAACCTAGTGACTGTTCAATAGTGATGTATATATTTTAGATATGATTTTGAAATATAAATGTATTATTGTGTCAAATTATTAAGTTTTTCCAAACGTGGTTATTTACTAGAAGACCTCTCTGAACATCATTATCATCACAATGATGCGTGTTTAACTGAAGTGACATACAAAACACTGACATAACATAGGTTAACGTTGCATCAGAATGACGTCATATCATCGTCTCGTAATCTAGAATGTACAGTCAAACCTCTCCCGAAACTCATAACTCGAAGGTGCTGTTTAATTTGAAGCATTTTGTCGGTCCCTGCCTAACTTTTCCTAAAACATTCAAACTCACTTAAAATTGAATACTCAGTTCCCTAGGTTTTCCCATGGTCCCCCGAGAGTACATGTTACATTACTAGTCTTGGTTAATGGGAATTTCCTTTTAGTCGGGCAGTAAAGTATGTGTCTGGCTAGAGATCAAAGGATCACTAGTTTAAACCCAAGCAATGACAGGGTGTTTCTATCGTTCCTTCCTACTACAGATATACAGATAGACAGAAGAGGCTAATGCCTGTACCCAATACTACATAAACATAGGCACACATTCGTTCGAAACCCTGAAAACTCAAAGAAGGGTTATTTAATTTCCCTGAAGCAGATGGGTATGTAACCCTGGTAAATTAGTAAATTAAATACTGACCTTGTATGATATAATTAATTACAAGATTGAATGCATTATTTCATTTTCGAAATTATTGTTACCAGGGACGTATAATATATCATATGTATTATACGTCCCTGTTGTTACAAAATTTAAATTTTAAAGTTAATTGAAAATTTACATTAAATTGAATTGATAATACATATTTATATATATATTGAATAACATTGTAATTTATCTGGAATGATACAATTTGAATGACCGTTATTACCACAAGCAAATTGATACATAGTTGGACAAGTCTGACTGTATTGTTAGGCTACAGACCCGAACCGTACCACTTTGCGTGAAGCATAACAGACCCGAACCGTACCACTGTGAGTGAAGCAGCGGTGTGCATCGGCCTTACATGTTTTCCTTGAAGTCTTGACAGTTTGATATTCGAGCTATTCTGGCACCTCTCCATCCCTGCGATGTTCAGACAGAAGGTGTCCGACCCATAGGACGGCTCCGCTCCAACAACCGCGAAAGCAGTCACAAACAGTAAGACTTTTTGGAGGAAAGCTCCGATCGGGGGCAACCCCATTTTTCCTCGATTTCCTCATAGAGTTAGCTCCCTTGGACTTCATCGATGTGGCGTTCGTTGGTTGGCGATAAGAAGTCGGGGATCAAATGTAGTTTTGTTTTATTGATTAGAAACGTCAGGTATGAATGATTTACATGGTTTTGAACGGAATAAAAACAGACAGCAGCAGCAGGCGATGTAAAAGTTGTTTTCAACAATAGCCCGCCCAAAATACAGAGGATGTCTCGCAGGTGATACAGTAGTGATCTGTCGTGAATTCATACCTCGGTACTTTCAGATTTTATCATGTGTTGGAATGTTTGAAAAACAATTATGACTGATTAACATTGATGTTTTTTGTTTTATTTCTTATGTATGTAAGAACGACTTTATTAATAGAACTATGAAATTTATTACAATTTAAGTCATTAAATGATAAGACTCAAAATTTCGAAGTAGCCTATGTACATGTATATGTAAGAAGCTTCGAAACCACGACCCCATGGTCCATAAATGTACATGTTTAATGTTTATAGGATGATAAACCCGAAGGCGCGTGATCTGCTTTTTCATTAATTTGGTATATACCACAGGTGCTTGTTGACGCGAGTATGAATAAACATCTGGCCTTTCTCCCTTAACTTACCATATGATGATAACAATTAAAACACACACACTGATGTTAACAAGCACTTGTGATCGGAGGTACAAGCTGTCACACGAGTCTGTTATCTCTATCACAGACATCACAGGAATAATGTCTGCATTTGACTTTCTGTCAGGTGATGATGTGAACTCTTTTGAATTATTGGTACATACAATTATATAAGTAACGATAAAACAAACAGATAAACAAAACAAATAAACAAAAAAACTTCTGAGTGAACTCTAGAGTGTGGTGAGGAAGTCGTGCTTCTGAGTGAACTCTAGAGTGTGGTGAGGAAGTCGTGCTTCTGAGTGAACTCTAGAGTGTGGTGAGGAAGTCGTGCTTCTGAGTGAACTCGAGAGTGTGGTGAGGAAGTCGTGCTTCTGAGTGAACTCTAGAGTGTGGTGAGGAAGTCGTGCTTCTGAGTGAACTCTAGAGTGTGGTGAGGAAGTCGTGCTTCTGAGTGAACTCAAGAGTGTGGTGAGGAAGTCGTGCTTCTGAGTGAACTCGAGAGTGTGGTGAGGAAGTCGTGCTTCTGAGTGAACTCTAGAGTGTGGTGAGGAAGTCGTGCTTCTGAGTGAACTCTAGAGTGTGGTGAGGAAGTCGTGCTTCTGAGTGAACTCGAGAGTGTGGTGAGGAAGTCGTGCTTCTGAGTGAACTCTAGAGTGTGGTGAGGAAGTCGTGCTTCTGAGTGAACTCTAGAGTGTGGTGAGGAAGTCGTGCTTCTGAGTGAACTCGAGAGTGTGGTGAGGAAGTCGTGCTTCTGAGTGAACTCTAGAGTGTGGTGAGGAAGTCGTGCTTCTGAGTGAACTCTAGAGTGTGGTGAGGAAGTCGTGCTTCTGAGTGAACTCGAGAGTGTGGTGAGGAAGTCGTGCTTCTGAGTGAACTCTAGAGTGTGGTGAGGAAGTCGTGCTTCTGAGTGAACTCTAGAGTGTGGTGAGGAAGTCGTGCTTCTGAGTGAACTCTAGAGTGTGGTGAGGAAGTCGTGCTTCTGAGTGAACTCTAGAGTGTGGTGAGGAAGTCGTGCTTCTGAGTGAACTCTAGAGTGTGGTGAGGAAGTCGTGCTTCTGAGTGAACTCTAGAGTGTGGTGAGGAAGTCGTGCTTCTGAGTGAACTCGAGAGTGTGGTGAGGAAGTCGTGCTTCTGAGTGAACTCTAGAGTGTGGTGAGGAAGTCGTGCTTCTGAGTGAACTCTAGAGTGTGGTGAGGAAGTCGTGCTTCTTTCTTTATTGAGAGTATCGACATTCGACACTGCCTCAAAGCATATCGGAGCATAATAGTACTTATCAGAACCTTAAAATGGTTTAGAACAGCGAAATTGATGTACAGGATACATTTTGTACGTACACACAGTCAACTTCACATATATTTGATAAACTCGGTTTTTTATTGTTGTTAGCTCACAATATCTCTATCAGCACTGGGGGAATATATAGTTTGTTTCCACCCTGCTCCGAATTGTTCTGACAATTTATCGACTTTTTATATATCGATCTGTGTACTACTTCCTGTTTTTAACTTTCCCTTTTTTGATAGCAGTATGTACAAGTTAAGTGTAATGGAGTTGATTGATATGCAGCTATTTCTCCGGGATACATTGAGTTACTTCCCCTAAATGTTTATGGAGTTGTAGGTATGAGAGCGTGCAGGTAGAAATGGGATCTGTCATGGATGAGTGATTTTTATCAAAATACAATTACGGACTTAGTAAGTACTGTTTTACTCGAAGAACCGTACCGCCATGGTATATAGGTATCTGTTTTAGTCTACATAGACGTTACACGTGTGCTGTTCCGTAATAGTATGTACATAACATATCAGACTAGTTTAAAAAGTCGGTATAATGTTTATCTCCTGAACATATACATGCATCTGGTTACTGCTGAATGTGATGTATTGAAAAGCTGTTCTAAATAGATCAATTTGGTCATTACTAATGTATACCTTGTTCTAAAATGGCTTATACAGTTATATCATATGTATCAAATTCATAACACTATAATGTGTATGAACTGATCTAGATATGATATTTAAGATATAAAGGTTGAGTATCTGTCTCCATATATTATGTATCCTATTACCTGGTACATGTAGAAGGGAAGATAAAAGGGAGATAATCAGTTAGATCCACAATCTGGTGTGGGTATAGACTGTAATATGACAGCATGCCTTATATCGAAATCTTATTCCTTTTTTATAATTACTAGTACATGTATCAATACAATGTAAAGATGAAAGTTAATGACTACAGTGTCTTCCCAAGACATTGCATTGTTTCTTTAAGATTCAGGAAGGAATGAAACGTGTTACAGTGGATATACAAACAAGTGTTTGTAATTGTCTCTTTATCAATCCTGGATGGCATCTCAAAACATTCAAGAATAATTTATTGGATGGCTTATTTTCACCAATGGAACTGATTCTTCCTCCTTTGATGATGACTTCTTATTTTGGCCACCTTGACAGCAGAGATGTCTCCTGACTGTGACACGTGAATCCTCATCCTCAACTGGTTACAATGTGACTGTGACACGTGTATCCCCATTCTCAGCTGGTTACAATGTGACTGTGACACGTGTATCCCCATTCTCAGCTGGTTACAATGTGACTGTGACACATGTATCCCCATTCTCAGCTGGTTACAATGTGACTGTGACACGTGTATCGTCAACCTCAGCTGGTTACAATGTGACTGTGACACGTGAATCCTCATCCTCAGCTGGTTACAATGTCACTATGTTGACAGAGATGTCTCCTGACTGTGACACGTGTATCCTCATCCTCAGCTGGTTACAATGTGACTGTGACACGTGTATCCCCATTCTCAGCTGGTTACAATGTGACTGTGACACGTGTATCGTCAACCTCAGCTGGTTACAGTGTGACTGTGATACGTGAATCCTCATCCTCAGCTGGTTACAATGTGACTGTGACACGTGTATCCCCATTCTCAGCTGGTTACAATGTGACTGTGACACGTGTATCCCCATTCTCAGCTGGTTACAATGTGACTGTGACACATGTATCCCCATCCTCAGCTGGTTACAATGTGGCTATGTTAACAGAGATGTCTCCTGACTGTGACACATGAATCCTCATCCTCAGCTGGTTACAATGTGACTGTGACACGTGTATCGTCAACCTCAGCTGGTTACAATGTGACTGTGACACGTGAATCCTCATCCTCAGCTGGTTACAATGTCACTATGTTGACAGAGATGTCTCCTGACTGTGACACGTGTATCCTCATCCTCAGCTGGTTACAATGTGACTGTGACACGTGTATCCCCATTCTCAGCTGGTTACAATGTGACTGTGACACGTGTATCGTCAACCTCAGCTGGTTACAATGTGACTGTGACACGTGTATCCCTATTCTCAGCTGGTTACAATGTGACTGTGACACGTGTATCGTCAACCTCAGCTGGTTACAGTGTGACTGTGATACGTGAATCCTCATCCTCAGCTGGTTACAATGTGACTGTGACACGTGTATCGTCAACCTTAGCTGGTTACAATGTGACTGTGACACATGTATCCTCATCCTCAGCTGGTTACAATGTGACTGTGATACGTGAATCCTCATCCTCAGCTGGTTACAATGTGACTGTGACACGTGTATCGTCAACCTCAGCTGGTTACAATGTGACTGTGACACGTGTATCCTCATCCTCAGCTGGTTACAATGTGACTGTGACACGTGAATCCTCATCCTCAGCTGGTTACAATGTGACTATGTTAACAGAGATGTCTCCTGACTGTGACACATGAATCCTCATCCTCAGCTGGTTGCAATGTGACTGTGACACATGTATCCTCATCCTCAGCTGGTTACAATGTGACTGTGACACGTGAATCCTCATCCTCAGCTGGTTACAATGTGACTGTGACACGCGTATCGTCAACCTCAGCTGGTTACAATGTGACTGTGACACGTGTATCGTCATCCTCAGCTGGTTACAATGTGACTGTGACACGTGAATCCTCATCCTCAGCTGGTTACAATGTGGCTATGTTAACAGAGATGTCTCCTGACTGTGACACATGAATCCTCATCCTCAGCTGGTTGCAATGTGACTGTGACACATGTATCCTTATCCTCAGCTGGTTACAATGTGACTGTGACACGTGAATCCTCATCCTCAGCTGGTTACAATGTGACTGTGACACGTGTATCGTCAACCTCAGCTGGTTACAATGTGACTGTGACACGTGTATCCTCATCCTCAGCTGGTTACAATGTGACTGTGACACGTGAATCCTCATCCTCAGCTGGTTACAATGTGACTATGTTAACAGAGATGTCTCCTGACTGTGACACATGAATCCTCATCCTCAGCTTGTTGCAATGTGACTGTGACACGTGTATCCTCATC